TTAATGATCAACGTACAGGATCAATGAGCAATATGGAAGATGCATATTACCAAATCAAAGACATTTAGTATACATTCAGAACAATCAAATCACAATTCAATAAACAACTGCTAATCGAGACAACACGACTCATGCATGTACTAAATAAATTGCAGACTGAGTTTAAATTTTTCAAACAAGGCTTTGATTATGGAATTTGAAGAAAGCTAAGTGTTTGCATAGATAAGACATCCTTGTTAATAATCTTAGATTAGGCCACACCAATTTGATCTCTTGGTTAACGGATTTGCCCGCTTCATTTTTTTCTGATTTGCAAATAAAAATAAAAATTCAGAATCAACAGTCACTGCAAAATGCTCATATTTTGCCCTGAACAGTTGAAAACAGTCCTTTAATTTCTTCCTAGTTGTTACAGTTATTCCATCTTTCAATGCAATGGTATCATTAAAAGTTCAAAATTCATTGTTTAAATTTTGGACCAGTCTAGTGTGTTGACTTCATGGCTCAGTATAATACCATTTTGGGCCATAATAGGATGCCTAGGCCTGTTTTTATTTTTATTTTTTTTTTGCCCGCCCGCTCCATTATTTTTCTAGAAAAATCTGTTAACCAAGAAATTAAATTGGTGTGGCCTTAACCCTCAACTTGCTAAGGTGGCCATTTGGCTCCAGATTTGTATAGGTTTTGTTTAGCCAGCAGGGAGAAGGTTAAGACACCTCAACTCAAAAATGGGTTGATAAGATGGAAACTTACAAATGAGAGTACATTGTACTTTTTCTTAGTACATTGTACAAGCAACCTTTTGCATACTGATTTTCAGAAGTAGCTGTTTGGCTACATATTCCCTATTGGTTTCAGGGTGAGGAGGCAGGGAACAGGTTAATAAAGGGTTAATGCCCCGCCCCGAGGTGTATATGGCGAGATAATCCCTGGTCAGGTGTGATAACCACAGAATAAACCACCGAGTGAGCGTAGCAAAGGTTCTCACTGGTCAATGTCACCTGGCTATATGATAATACTGGTTGTAGAAATATTTGGACAAGTTACAGCAGGCCAGGGCCCCATCCTGCAGTGGAAATAAACCACCGAGTGAGCGTAGGGAGGCTTCTCATTGGCTGATGTCGCCTGTCTATATTATGATGATACTATTTGGGCAGGTTACAGTAAGCCAGGGCCCCATCCTGCAGTGGAGCTGAAGTGATTCAGTCTGGCAGCCTTTTAAGGTAGAGTGTAACAGTAATCCCAGGAGGGTTACACCAAAGCACCACAACACATGGCTAGCTGCATGCTCTCAGTCAGGGAACCCCAACAGAGGGTAGTATGTCTGACACATGTTAGGTGAAGTTCAAGTCTATGGAGCCAAGTTTGAAATTTTGTATGGATTTGTATTGTATGTAATAAGCAATATGCCTGTCCTTGGTGCTGAATTCACCATCCATGATACAGACAACATGCCTGTCCTTGGTGCTGAATTTACTATCTATGATACAGACAACATGCCTGTCCTTGGTGCTGAATTCACTATCTTTGATACAGACAACATACCTGTCCTTGGTGCTGAATTCCTATCCATGATACAGATAACATGCCTGTCCTTGGTGCTGAATTCACTATCCATGATACAGACAACATGCCTGTCCTTGGTGCTGAATTCACTATCCATGATACAGATAACATGCCTGTCCTTGGTGCTGAATTCACTATCCATGATACAGACAACATACCTGTCCTTGGTGCTGAATTCACTATCTATGATACAGACAACATGCCTGTCCTTGGTGCTGAATTCACTATCCATGATACAGACAACATGTCTGTCCTTGGTGCTGAATTCACTATCCATGATACAGACAACATGCCTGTCCTTGGTGCTGACTATATTGTATGTCTATGACTGATTATTATAACTGAAACGAAGCATTTGTAAAAGACCCATGACCAAACTTGAACTCTTGAAAAGCGGCTCAGGCCAAAGAGTTGTACTGTTACATACTGTACATCTTCAAGGTTAAATAAAGGTTGAAAAAAAAAAGTTCAGGGACCAGATTTAAAGGACACACACTAGACATAAAAAATGATGCTTCAAATATGCTTCAAAATGTAATAAGCGGTAAACTTTCAGCCTTCCATTGTAACCTACTAGTACCAGTATTGCCAGCTGACCAGTAGCATTTCATGTGTCTGTTGAGAGACATGATTCCATCTGAATCATGGTAATTCTACTTGTCATGACTTTCATAATCATGTGGTAAAATTTTCACTATATAGCCTGGGAATGCACATGAACAAAGCTCAAACTTTCACTGACTCAGCAGTGGGTTAGTTTCGACAACAGACTTGAAGACAGCTGTGCCAGAAACACAGAAACACACACCTCAGAAGGTTTTCCTTGTTAAAAACAACAAACGTAGACTAAAGCAATCCATCACCTACTTGACCCGACTTAAAGAAAATGAACCAATTTCCCACTTGATTGGATTTCTCTCTATGCCTGCGAGCTGATAGATGAAACTAGGTTGCTTTGTCTTAGGCAACAAGTTATCGGATCATACATGTACATGTACAATGTACCTTTAAAGGCATCCAGTACGATTTCAGAGCAGCAGAACTGGAAATATTCTGAATAAGGCAATCTTCGTTATATTGACACATACTGCTTCACTTTAGCCCAATTCAATCAGTATTTCATACTTTGGGTATTTAAAACTGCAGAAACAATCCCCAAGATGAGTCATTTATTTTAGGGGAGGTACCCTAAAAATCAGCCAAGGGCCCTTCCAGTAACCATTTTCTATCAGAATTTTGGGTATATTTGCTCCATGAGGGTCATTTTACATTGGAATAGTGTGATTTCAACTCAGTATGGAGATACATGTACATGTATATGTCACTAGAATATTGACTTTGAAAAATTGGGTTGCGAAGCCTTAAAAACTACATTGGATGCCTTTGAATACCCAAAGGACCACCATGGTGAGGTGTTCTTGTGTATAGTTTGTCTTGGACATTATAGTATTTGTGGGTATACTGCAGTCTGCTGTGACAGTTTTTAAAAATGCACAGTCACATACATGCATCTTGTTGCATGTACCTTTCCTAATACAGAGCTAGCATCACCTACATGTACTGTATTTCTGCTATTCCATACAGTCACCTCAGCAATGTATTCTACTATTATTACTGCATTTCTGAACTTGATGTCCTTACAGGTTTTAAACCATTATATTTTCTTGTGTTACAGGATTGTACCTTATTGAGTTGCAGGGCTAGCCTCACCTAGATCTGTCACTCAAGTGAGCCAGCCTAGCTTATGACGTATATTGGGTGATCCCAATATCTGTGTGTCCCCCGGGGTTTTCTAGATTAAGCCTTTGGTTGAGAGAATTACATGCAAATGTGACACGAGGGCAGAAAGTGGCCTTAAAGCCCTGATTTACATACCAATAGTATACTGTAAAATACATTCACTTTTGCAGTCAGGTTTTATTTTGTGCTACGAAGAAAAAGAAGGTTTTCGTACTGTCTGAGGTCTGTGAAAAACACATATTTTTGGTGTCATGATTTTTCAGCAATAAGTTACAGCAAAAACATGAAAAAAATTATAATAAGCATTTCAAGACTTATGGTACATGGCATAATTCTAAAATCCAAAGTTCAAAAAAAAACTTGACAATGCATGCAAATTCATAGCCTGAAATACCACCTGCATATGCAGGTAAGTACAGATAAAATTGGTATTCGCTGGTATTTCTGACATCTACCTACAGTCCTACACAATCTACACTAACACCTGCACTGGTCAATGACCGACACACTAGCAATTCTTCCTTTCTTTCCAAAAAGGTAAAGAAGTCACCCTCCTTCCTTTCTTTCTAATTTTCCAATAATCTTAGAAACTCACATGTGTGAGAATTTTCCTCTCCATCTCTGAATCTAAAGCAAAAATGAGTACAGAGAGCTCCAAAATCCTTGCTTCTGCTTTCAAACATTTCAAAATGCCAGTGCACTCTAGTTGAGCCTAATGGGCTAAAATTTGCACCACCCTGAACAGAAAGATGCTCTCTAGAATATTCACGCCACTGGCAGAACTTTCATACATACTGCAGTGCACATCTTGGACAGTCTCCCAGACAATGTGGTTGGCCTGATCACTGAGAACAACCTCCAGTCATTCAAAACAAGAGTACACTGGCATCTTCTTACCACCACCAGGACTTCTGCATGTAAGAACTTTGCAACTTTGCTGTAAACCAATGATTAACCAGGAGTGTTACAACCCAGGCTATTGTCTATGTTAGCACATGATAGAAAGAAAAAAGAAATTTTTTGCTGTTGTCACTCGTATCCCCCAGACATCGTTGCTGTAATATTGCACACAGTAACAATCATGCCAGGGTGGATCCTCATGCATGTAGGGATTACATGCTAAACACTGGAGGTGGGGGTGTTGAATCAAGCAATCCGATTATTAATGGTGCTTGCTGCTAAGAAAATAGGGCAAGGTGAGAGTGAGGGTTCTGTGGTTCTCCTCAAAACGGCAGAACCGGGAAGCGTAAAACGAGCAGGTGTTTAATTATCTCGGTAAAGCGCTGGACTTATTGCGATGACGCCAAGCAATTCAAAAGGTGGGTTTAGCAAATGCTTATGAGCAATGTGCTATCTGTCAATAAAAGCACCAACAAAGCAATCATACCACTGTGACACAATGTGATGACACTAAACCAACATTTCTGGGCAAATACACAATATTTCACTTTCCTGTGACTTTTTCTCCTCCCCCCCACCAGCATAGAAAGTGGAATAATCGAATGCCACTATCTTACAGTGCCACCTAGCTGTAGTGGGAAGTACTGCAGACTGTCTGTTTGTTACAATGCCAATTACAAAATTAAAGTTTTATATATCATTGCTCCATGGAACATTATGCCCATTTTTGGTTGTTCTTCAGATTAAGTCAAGAACGGTTAGAAAGAAAAGAGGTAAAAATTAAGGCAACTCACTTTCCATATCTCTCGTCAGACTTTTTCTCGAGAAGTGGGATGCCACTGAGGAAGAGCAGGATGGAGGTGATGAAGACGGGGCCAATGACACCGGCCCACTGTCCGCCCTGGATCACACTGGTGCTGATCAGGAACATCCCCCACCACAGCAGGATCTCTCCAAAGTAGTTAGGGTGTCTCGACCACTTCCACAGGCCTACAAGTATCACATAATTATTGTATCATATAACTGCACACACGGATTGACTTTTTGTAGTTCGGTGCTTCTGGGGGTAGCCTGGGTGCCATCCGAATTTATTTTCGGATGGCACCCAGGCTATCTGGGGGAGACACCCAGTAATGTTTCTCATACTAAATATTGTTTTTATCTGTTTTGCAATTTTAAGGATTTTAGATATCTTAAGCGAATCAATATCTGCCAATTTGTACACGAGTCTGTCAATTCAGCCTGTTGGCTGCCATGTGACTTGTCTTTGATTTTAATAATAAACCAGTCTACTACAAGGAGAGGAATGTATGAGAATGTTCCAGTTCAGCACTGGGGTGAGTTTGGAACAGTCCACTTTTGCACAAGAGGGAGATGGAGTGAAATATGCTATTGTTTGTGAGCGAATGTCAGCCTTTCTAGTTTCATTTATTTTACCAGTAGATTATACTCGTGACATTACATGACACTTTGAAACTTAGAATTACCATAAGCAGTAGTCCCAAGGGTCCACATGAAGAGAAATAGTATTCATGATACACCATAAAATTAAACGCTACTACATGTAGCTCTAGTATCATACAACAAGACTGAAACACAACAAGGTTTTCCCAGGGGCTTCCAGGAATTTGGCCTGTGTAGGACTTTGGTCATAGATGTGTGTCAGCAGAATTCCAGACATGCCTGTGGACATTCCATGCCTGTGGAAAAAAATCCTGTACAATTCCTAGAATTCTTGCAAACTACACACAATACTGTACCATTAGGCTCGCCCACGAGGTGTCGCCAAAAAAACAAATATACAATCATGACAAATTCCTACCATAGTCACACCATTTCCCGTTGTTTGCTGGGTTGTCTCGGAAGTTGAATTTCTGGAAGTCGGCGAAGGTCTCGGTGAGAAGGCCGACCCCGTACATGGAGATGCCGACAATGTCCTGCACAGTAAAGTAGTTGTTGACGTTGGAGTAGGAACAGTTGGTGAAGATCACAGGAAGGCTGACTGTGAACACCCAGATGGCCTGGACAATAGTGGAAACAAAATACTTTAAATTCCAACAGGAGATTTATGAATGGTTTAAGTAATGGTCAAACATTACCTGTGCAATCGCATCCTTTTATAGCGCTGAATTGGTGCAGGGATTACATGTACAATCACGTAATATGATACATATGTATCAAATATACGTGTAAAAATGTTTGATCCACACACACTTTTGTGGAACTGTCGCAAGGGTCTGTGCGGCTGCTATTCAGCGCCACCAGGTAACCTCAATAAGACTTTCCCCAACCGAAATTAGGTACCCATTCACTCCTGGGTGGAGTGAAGAAAGTCATGTTAAATGTCTTTCCCAAGGGCACAACGTCCGGGCACATGTCCAGATATGTCCAAGGTACAACTCGGGATCGAACCCGGGTCTCGCCATTTCATAGTCAAACGCTCTACCACTGCACCATGCCACTCGATGCCAGATTTCAGACTTGTGGAAACTACGACCTTGAGTTTTCATGACCTACAAGTTCTCCCCATTTCCTGTGTGAGACCCTTGGACCACCTGTCAATCTTCCTCACCCATGTGCTGTTATGCCTATCCCATTTCCTGTGTTTGACCTTTTGACCAATCATTCTGACTGTCAATCTTCCCCACTCTGTTAAATTATGTTGTACTCTGAAATTTTAATCCTTGTGAAGCTTTTCCTTTTCTTACTTCATGACATAGTACATGACAAACATGTACTACATGGAGGCTACCAGTCATATCTCTGACAACAGTTACAATAAAATACAAGCTCAATATGTTGTGATTCCTTCCAAGAATCTTTAAGACTCCCTGACAAAGAATGAATGAAAATGTAATTATCTAACTCCATTCTTATATCTTCAGAAGTAACAGACATTCATAGCCTACCCTACAGCTGTCATAAAATTTGTTCTGATGGCACCAAGCAGATTCCTTTCAAAATGAAACATGGTGATTTATCACACTATGAAGGGATCCAAAATTTTACGAGAGCCAGAGCCTGAAGAAACATACAAGTACAATCTGAACAAAGATAATTATGATGTTTCTAAATCTTACTGAAAATATAAGTTACAGGTGCCGAGGTGGCTCAGACCTCTTTTCAAATTTGACAGTAAAAAAGGCTCACATATTCGGAGCCCAGAGGAAAGAGGATTTAATACTTGCCTACATCTAGTACAAGCTACATTGTACATTACATAGTTAAACCAATGTAAGGTAAATCAAAGTACATACAAATGTATCATATATGATTACAGACGTTTAATTTGAAAGTTGTAGATTTTGCATGTGTTGGCCTGTTTTAGGATTCACAACACAGTTTTGACTGGTTATGGAGTTACAGTGTCACCTTACAGAGTGGCAAAACAGTTCAGCACCCTGCATCTGGCACTTAACATGTACAAAGGATTGTCATCAAAGCCTCAGAGTGTTGTAACTACTATAGAATGTAATATTATGCACCATTGCTCCCCTGATGGTACCAGACAACAGCCTTGTAAACAGGACAACATCTGTGCACCTATTAGAGCTAATAACATGTGGAGAGACTATATAAACAACAAACAAACCCAAATAACACCAGGCTGGTGGATATGGTGGAAATCTTTGCTACAGGCATAAGGAGGCAGAATGAATTATATCATATATTATGTTTTTTGACTTCGTTCATTTTACATTAAAACACATGGCAGGTTCATTTGCTAATATGCAAAGAGGCTGAATTGCGCATTTTAAGCATGATCTACATTGTATATTAGACAAGTAAGTCAAGCATGATCTATATTTACATGATCTACATATTAAAAACATGTATACAATTACATTTATTACATTATGATGATGACATTATAAGAAATTGAAAAGGTTCTTAATAAGCTGTAATAATTGATGTTACAGTAATAATTGCTACTTAGTGATTTTAACAGGTATATTTGTTCAATAGGTGAGTGAGGTACGGGATAGGGCTGTTTTTGTAGTGGTTTGTTTTTGCCAGTGGGATGCAGAGTTGTTGGAAACTTTTAAGGTTTTTAGCATTTGAATATCAATAAAACAAAGAGTTTTCAATAATATGTTCCACAAAATCTATGAGACTGTGAAATTTGATTTCATCAATGTTGCATGGTACAAAAATGTATATCCTAGCATTAATATTATATACATGTACATCACTGCACCATTAAACATGCCTCATTTTTTTGAAGAACAACCCTTGGCAAATGGAACAAACCAGTGCAAATGAGAATATACAGAACAATTTCTGCGGTAATGTGCTGTACATAAAACAAACGTTAATATTCTGATGCAGACGCATTATACAAAATGGCCTGCAATTGTTACCGCAGAATGAAGTCTTTCATAACGGTTTTATCGACACTCCTATATGGCTATAACGTCTATGTTGTCTGTGTATTGAGTATAATGCCGCCTGTAAGTCCCTGATCTTATGATGTATGAACGGCATTTAGACACAAAGCCCTTGTTCCTTCTACCTGCTGAAACTGATGCCAAATTAATCCCCAAAATGAGGTAGATTTATTGGTCAATAGACACATGTATGCCTGGCTGTCTGCATTGCCAACAGTTCCTTATGATGGATGGCTCAATAACTACACACTGGTAACATAATAATAATCTTTAAACACAGCCTGCATAAAGGTATATACTTCAATTGGGACAAAGGCTTTAGAAATGGGGAGGACTAAAGTGCCAACATTTGCTTTTAGCCCATGCAGAATATTTCTCTTTTCTAGCTAAACATGCTATGTGGGATACATACATCAGATTTAGCCAAAAGGTAGCAGCTGTAGATGCCCATATATGGAGGTCTATCCCATTGACTGTCCGACCCCCTATGTGATTTCTTGTATATATGGGACAATAAAGTATACTTCCAAGCCATCATCATTTCAACTTCAGGGGTTTAAAAAAGTCTGGCTCCGGCACCATCTTACAAGGGTTTGGTCACAATTATAAAAAAATTCCAGAGATGTGAGATTCCATTCCTGGGGATAAAATTCCTGTACAATTCCTAAAATTCTAGTAAACTGCACACAATACTGCACCTTGCCAAAAAAGGCAACTTTAAGACACAGAAGAATGGCCAAGGAACATTTAAAAAAGCAATGGTGAACGAAAAGTTAAGAATTACATGTACACAGCCAACAACTGATCTTTCAGTACCAAGGACAGCATATGAATGGCTATCACATGACTTCCCATGATGCTTTGAACAGGAAGTACCCAGTGGTGCAAAGGTATAAAACTTTGTGCCATTCTTTGCAATTTCTTACAATAGCATACATGCAATGCAATACATTTTATTACGTTTACCAACGGAAAACATATTGTTTTTGCTCTGCTTCCTCTTCCTCTACTTCTCCAAACCAATAAGGTCAATGACCTGAATCAGACGTCTGTCACCATGGTAACTGGTGCTGGGTTACATCATGTTGCAATTTTATAGCAGGAGGGATTTAGACTCCTGTCTGACCATATACATATATGAAAGTCAATGTGTTTGACTAAGAATTAACAGAGCAGACCATATGTGAAAGTAAACATTATGCATTTGCTTTGTACACGTTACCTTTCTAGTTTCGATTTTTTTCTATGATTACCCAGCAACAGCTGCAATAATAACAACAACGACAAAATTCGAACAAACCTGGAATGTCCAGAATCCTGCGAACGCACACAAGTTGTCCCTCTTGTCGTCGAACCGTTTGTCTTCCCCTATCTTGATGATGCGGTAGAGAAGGTAACCTGACAGCCGGATGCCCCAGGCACACACGAACGCCGTCACCAGGATCTGTCGGACCGAGAACGTCTGCGGAGGAGAGATAAAACGGGAGGGTCAGGGGTCACATTTGACGATGAAACTTAGAAACACAGTTGGTGATAGAAGCAGAAATTCTTCTACATGAACTCACATGGAAGATAAAAACAGATTGCAAGTGTTCATAAGTTCTACTTCAAGGTGACCTAATTCATTCATTTTAAAACCCTTGTCCTGCGGGACCCATATATATATATATGGGTTGCACATACAGTACCATCTAGTATATAGTACCCTGTATATGTATAATTTGGGGTTACTTCTCGTGTAACGCATCACACCGCAGCGAAACACAACAAATGCGGTAGTAACTACGACACCGCATGGCAAAAAAAGTCAAGGGCCTGTGACCTGATTAAGACTTCAAATTATTTGAAAAATTGCCAGCAGGACAAGGGTTAAATATCTTCTGTTTGGTACATTTACTGTAATTATGTTTACCAAAGGAAAAAAAATTGTTTCTGCTTAGTTTCTTCCTCTTCTTCTCCCAACAAATAAGGTCAATGACCTGAACCAGACATCTATCACCATGGTAACTAGTGTTGGCTTACATCATGTTGCAATTTTATAGCAAGAGGGATTTAGACTCCTGTTGCCATATATATGAATGTGTTTGAGTCAGAATTAAAAGAGCAGACCATATGCAAAGGTAAACATTACGCATTTGCTTTGCAAATGTTACCTTTCAAGTTCAATTTGTCTTTATGTTAGCAAACTTTCACAGTCTGTGGAAAATGGACGTGCTCACAGAACTTGATCTTCAAGGCAGCGGGAGATGGGGGTGAAAAACCACGATCGCGCGTCCTTGGCAAGGATATGCATTTTCATTTATTGAATTCTGCTTCTACATGAAGTATGTCCTCTGGAGCACTGGGTGACACCGAAGGTCAACATCACCATTTATGGAACCCCATCCAACCAATCAGATGCGAGCATGGTGGGGAGTTATATGGCAAGGGTCAAGTGTCAGTCTTTTATATTACAGTCTACTTACTGTGGATGCAGTGAAAGGTAATGAAAAACACTGTCTAATCAAATATGACACAGTAAAGTTGGGTTCTACCTATATTGCTGCCATTGAATTCCATTAATGATACACGTACATATTCAAAATTGAATGTTACTGGCTGAGTATTAATGAATTCACAAAAACTCTCAATGCAACATACTGTACATCCCAGAGATTTGAAATCCCTGATTTCTTGTTCAATACGGAAATAAGGTTAACTGTATGAAATGGAAGAATGAAGTCAGTTCTAACTTGATAACATAGATGGCACAGTACCCCAAAAGGAATTATATACAATATACGTAGTCTTCCAGGAGTTGTTTTTCTGCTTCATGCTGTATCCTTGAATAATAATTGTAATAATCAATATGTCAAGATTAAATATGTTTCCACAGATTGTAATCTACTAATTCTCGTACTAATCAACCCATTGTTCTCTGACAAAACAGTTCAATTGTGTTGTATAATTGTATTCTAGGATAAGTCATTGAAATGAGGTACTGAGATGGCTGACACCACCAAATCCAAGATGGCTGACACCACACCTGTGCATATGTATGCACACCCGAATGCCCCGTTAGGACCTGTTCAAAAATCAATGCATCCTGCACGCAGCTGCATACCAAACAAGTGCATCCCCAAGTCTACCCCGCATGTGATGCATACAAATTCCCCGCCACCGCATTTTTACGTCCTCCGCAAATTGGAAACCCTTGTCTGGTGGCTAATGGCTCGGTAATGTGCTTTTGCCTGGAACAATGAGCGATATCAAAATGGCTGCCATTTCTATGAGCTTGCATTTGCCCAAGTTCATTACGTGGATGTAAAATCAATCTGTCATTTGGGTTTAGTGATGGCCCACAAGCCAAAAGGACTTTGTGGCCGTTCCTGTACATATATGTCTCCGAGGCCACAGCAAGTTATTCTTATGGATGACATCAGCACGTGCATTAATTTTCGCCTGATTTTGGAAAAAGAAAAAGAAATTTTGTTGCCTCCTGACAGTGGTCAACATGCCGAAAATGGGCAAAGATGTCTGCTGCCATGCTGGAAGGTGGATGGCAGATAACTATGAAGAGAGGAGACAAGAAAAGGCTCTGATTTCTTACTTTGATGCAGTGATATGTGATGCTGGCTATGTATACATGTATATGATGTTCCCACTGAATCAAAACTATTTTATGAACAATGATTGAGTCAAAATTTTAAAATGTAGGAACCTTATTTTTTCGGCCCACCTTGTTTTTTTTTGCCCACTCACATTAGATTTGGAGTCTGCGAAGGATGTAATCCATAAAATTTACTTGCTGTGGCCTAAACGATGATATTGATCTGGTAGGGTCAATAGCCTTGTATCCTCCAATCCTTACTGAACCACTGTTATTTAAGATGAGTAAAAGGATACCGCTAACGGTGACTATAAAATGTGATGAATGTTAAAGTCGCTATATGGTTTTATGTTTGAACTTTCATTTCAAATTTTAATATATGAAACAAATTATTGGATGCTGTTATGGCAAAAGAAAGTATTACTGGGTGGTAATATGCTGGATAAACAATAAGGTATTTCTATTTTTTATGTAGATATATATTGATTGATGACAGCACTTTTTTTGGAGGGAAAGGGCACCGGTGAAGAAAAGAAAAATAAAATAGAGGAATTTCAAATGAAATTTGCATACAATAATAGTTCTTTAGACAGAACCTTCAAAAGAAAATGTAGCACCAACAACAATGGATAGTTGTAAGATGAAATATTATAATATTTGTCACACATGGGAATATGATTTTAATATCAATTTTTCTCACGTGTAAATGACACACAGTTGGTGTGTTAGAACTAACACCACATGAACATGTGCCAAGAACATTGACCAGCTAGCAAAGCATCCATTGAAAATTCAATGTTTCAACACACAAAGTAGCCAATACCTTCCTAACGCTAGTACATTATGTATCTACTGAAAATGAAATATTGATCATATTTCTCCCCCATGTCCCTCTGGGGTTATATCAACCTTTAGTATGCCAACTTATGTTTTTATTTACCTTCTGTGTGAGAGAAACTCAAAGGGAGTAATTATTTTCTTCTCTGGGTTTCTTCTACCTTCTGTGGCCAAATACGCAATCATAGCTACATGCAAATGCAGGGCTCGAAATTCATTTATGGGAATAGGTGCACTGGTGCAATATTGGGTGCACAAATTTTTTTGGTGCATCATATAAGATAAGTAGAATGTCAGCAAAAACTCATTATGTTTCATTTCTAAAGTAAAGTACTCTTACAATGATTTTTAATTATTTTTCTGACACCTACAGGGTTAAGACTGCTGTATACACTATTATAGTTTATACATTTAACAATTCTTTACACATGTAAATCTACAAAAATATTTGGTGGTGCACTCACAGAAAAAATTTGGTGCACAGCTCCAAAGTTGGGTGCACTAAGGTGCACATGCACCCAGTATTTCGAGCCCTGACATGTGCACGTACATAGGGTGTCATGCTCTCATTTCATGGTCAAATGACATTGATATTGATATGAGTGCAGCTTGGGCCAATAACACCCTGGGGTGTTAGTTTTATTCTTTTTCTCATGAAGGAATTTCAATTATTTTATGGGCACAAGCAAGTAAAATATCAGCAGGGCATATACACAGTAGTTGGAACAAACAACCTGGCTGTTATGTTTCCAACATTGACAGTCAAGTCAACACATCGTTAAGGAAATTACAAGCATATCAACACAGATATTACGATGACATGACAACACAAAATTATTTGTCAAACAACAAAACTAGTGAATTTTGAACCTGCTATGGGATAACTGGTAAGTTCCAATAATGGTCAAGCAAAGAACATGACTAAAGCAGGCTCTCCATAAAGACTTCTTTCTTCAGATCTCCCTAACTTAACAAAGTTCCCACGAAAAGAACTACAGTATGACTGAACCATACCATTTGTGTAGCAGCCTAACTCAGCTATCATACCCAGAGCAAAGTTGTTATGACTAACTCTGTAATAAAGTGCATTCCTGCAGGCAAAAAAATGCTCAACACGTCAAATTGCAAATGACAGGCTCCCTAACTCCACAGACTCACTACCAGAACTAGCAGTTAGGGGGACTCAAGAAGGACACCTTGTGGTTCAGAAGCAGAATTGCAGATACTACAATTGCTGCAATGTGGATGAAAATCAGTAGGTGGCATGACAATTACACATGCTCAGACAGTCCACATACACAGTAGTGCCATGTACTTCAATCTGTAGTGTTTCAACTCCCAGCTTAAAACACAGTGAAGGCCTACTGGAAATTTACAGTATCTCAAAACTTTCCTAACACAATTCAACAGGGGTGTCAGAGTATACAGTGCAATTTTACGAAACACAGTGCATCTTTATGGAATACAGTGCAATTTTACGGGATACAGTACAATCGTATTAGACTAAGTATACAGTGCAATTTTACGGAATACAGTGCCAAGGGTTGCGAAGCTGGTGTGTTACGCCGAAGGGCGGTTATACCGGCCATACCGAAACAGAAGGGTTGTCCTTCATGAGTTGCACTGTATACTAGTAAAATTGCACTGTATACTCACTCTGGCAACCCTATTCAAGAAACACTCTACTTTTGCAAGGAAGGCTGTTACAAATAGACTAGTGTTATACAATCTTTTGTTTCATCAAAAAGGAGCTACATGTGTAACTGTCTACACTACAATGTAGGCTGATGAATCGGCTGCGGTATCACTTCTCCCAACTCGAGTATGATACATGATCTAGACTATCATCACTGCCATGCAATACAAAGCTTCTAGCCTGCACAAAAGGACCGTACTATTGGAAATCCTTCAATACCAAGTGACAACTGATATTTGTCTCAGACTTGCCGAAGGTTTCGGCTCCAATATTCTATTTCCGTCCAGTCGGTTCAATGCAATTTTCCATCAAGGACCTACAAAAGCACCAGCCCTGAAGCAACCCGCGGCAGCTTTAAATGAACCTGCGATCCCTTCGGATTGGACCGGTTCAAAAATTTCTCCTGGGTCGATACTTTGCAAGTCTATTTTCTGCTAAAGCATCAGACGAGCTACATGGGTAAGCTTTAAAAGTATTAGAACGATAAGGATTATACGCTTTTTGCACACAGATTTTTTCTAATACGAAGTATTAGTATGCAGATAAAATAGATAGAATTCAAATTGAATCAAAAAAATGTACTATACAAGAGCATTTCTTATCATTAACTTATCATGCAACCTTTAAATCAACCACTATCATCAATGAACCTAATTGTTGACTTCAATTCTATACAGGTAAATTAAATCAAGCCGAGGATATCTACAAGTTACTCTGTAATAATGAAAAGATGTTGCTTTTGAATACAAACCCATACACTAAATCTTGTCAACAATACTTTTAGGATTGTACCTGTCAATCCGTATACCTGAGATTCCTTCAAAAACACAATCTGATTCACTATTATTCTAATAATAATACAATGACCTTGGATAACATCATCACTGTAGCTGTAACTTCACAGGTGTGATTGATTACCTGTGCAAGAAGAAGTGTCATCAACGCCAGCACCATGAAATTTGTCCCTCCCGCAAAATCCGTGACCTTGTCGAATCTGAAGGTCGCCGCTATGCCGAAAAAGAAGATCTGCATGGCCGCTGTGATGATGGCGCATAGCAGGAGGTTGTTGGGGTCCACAAAGTGGATGGGTTTCATGGCGGCAGCTGTCAATCACTGTCAATCAAATCAAGTCCTGCCAATCACTGTCACCACACCCATCGAGTGACCTTCTGCGGGAATCACGGCATGTTTGCGGCGGGGCTGGAGGAAAAAGAGAGAAAAAAAAACAGTAGTATTAGCGGCGAATAACGTCGGGTCAATTCACAGAACCATTAGTACAAGCCACGCTGTGGGGAGAAAGATTTGAGCTGGCACCGGTTGCCAATTTCCCCATCTGAGGCATGGATCAGTTCCAAGGCAAGAAAAGAGCAGATACATGGGAGAGATAAGTACACTGCCAGGGTTCCACGCCGCGTATATCAAAGCTACCATCCACATTGGCATCTGTACAGCATATCGGCGGCAGACCATTCACTTTAGCGGTACACAATATAAATCAACCACTGCACCCTCCATTTTCCATTCACCCATGCACAGATTGCACAAAGCACACCCTTCAACAGTTGTAGATTACGCCAAGACTTTTGAACCCGTTTATACGCCAGACTTTTGAATTCTTCAGAGATCGGTTCACAGTTCTAGCTCGGCCGTGCACTTTAATTTGTTCCCGCTGATTTGAATTCACCGCAACATACTGAGCATTGCTACACGGTTCTTTTGGAAAACGATACATGCCACATTAATTGGTATCTGGAAAAGGAGACACTAGGGGCGTTTGGTGTCGTGCCAAGCATAGAATTTGGAGACAGCCGGAAAGACACATAAAAAGTCTTTGTGTAGAATCTCTAATGTACTGTAATAAAAGGAGTGATAAAATAACAGTCATGACTGAATAACTAACTAAGACAAAATATTTGCCTTCTTCAATTTCTTGTGCATTTATAAACAAAGCTAGAATAAATATGAAGTTCTTCATACATCTTATCTTATCTTATACATACACAGTTTCAGTTTCAGTTTATTTGTTTTACCAGTAATTACAGCTCAGGCCATTTTGGCCTGCTTTTCAGGTAATCCTGGATACACATAAAATGCATACAACAAATACACAGTACGTACTAAACAATTAGTAAAATTATACAATATACTCAACATCAACTACCTCAAGTCATGTTCTTAATGACCTGTTTAAAAGTCCTGAGACTAAGGAGACAGATACACACGTATATGTTGTAAACATAATATATATTTTAGTTATTGTCACATACATTTGTGATATTCTTCAGATGTAGAACAGACCTTTCATTGTCCTTTCAGGGATATTAAAAAAATTGCTCCATCTAAATGTAATTGTACCTACTAACCCGCGATCATTATGTGAAACTAGGTCTGCAAATACAGATGCAATAAAAGACCTGTATAGGTGAGACAATGTCTGAGATGTGTGTGTGCATGCCGTTGTAGGATAAGGATGTGTAATTTAAAGTCTATCAGATACTGGAAAATGCAAAAGTCAAACCCAGTTTGCAAATGCAGGGCTTTCTTTACTGTGACAGTTTGTCAGTTTTGCCCATGAGGCTTGGATGTACATGTACACAATCATATTACCTTTAACACCGTAATCCGTAATTTTCATCATTAAAATCCACACCTGTCCATCTCATTTATAATCCCGTACGACAATTAATCAGGCAACTGCTTCAGCTGAGACTTAACACCGAGTAATCTCTGCTCCTTTTGCAAAATCTCACCGTTCATCTGCACAGATCGATATGTTGTTACTTTTCCTTCATGTTTCAAACCTATCAAACATGGAAAAGTATGTACAACTGCATCAATGGTTAACAGCATTATGGACATAAATATTTCCATTTCAAGATGTATACTAGAAAGGTAACATTTGCAAAGCAAAATGCATAATGTTTACCTTCGCATATGGTCTGCTCTGTTAATTCTTACTCAAACACATTCACATGTATGGTGACAGGAGTCTAAACCCCTCCTGCTATAAAATTGCAACATGATGTAACCCAACACTAGTTACCATGGTGACGGATGTCTGGTTCAGGTCATTGGCCTTAATTGTTGGGAGAAGAGGAAGAAGAAGAGGAAACAGAGCAAAAACAATGTTTTCCTTTCATTAACATAAATAAGGCCACACCAATTCAATTTGTTGGTTCTCAAATTCGCCTCTTTATTTTTTTTCTGATTTAAAAAGAATATTCTGGGTCTGAATCAACTCAAAAATGCTCATATTTTGCCCTCAACAGTTGAGGAAAGTCTTTTTCTTCCTAGATGTTACAGTTTGTCCTTCTATCAATACAGTACTAGTAGTTTGATTAAAAGTTCAAAATTCATTGTTTAAATATTAACCCAGCCTTCTGTGTTGACTTCATGGCTCCTATCATAGCATTTGGGACTACAATAGGATGCCTAGACCTGTTTTTGTTTTCATTTCTTTTCTACCCTGTCACTTCATATTTCATCTGAAAAATCTGAGAACCAACAAATTAAATTGGTGTGGCCTAAGAAATTTTTCTTCAGACACCCCCCCCCCCACTGTGTAAATGCTAGAAGGCATCCTAGTAGAACAGAAGGATTCCAAAGGTTGGGAATGGGATGGTGTTTAATTTCACACCTGCCTGATCCTATCATATAAACTCCTGATTAATGCATGCTATTGGTTAACAAATATGACAAATCTTTACGTGAAACCATAACTAATCTTAGGAATCCCTGTAAATACATCAAATCATACTTTTCTGGTAAATGACGCCACATTCAAACCTCACAGGCTGGTTCTAGAAGTTTATGAACCATTTCAAAATGAAAGTGTTTCCCAATATTCTCTTCAAAGGTAACCTTAGTTCATCTTAACCATCACCCAGCTAAGGTAGCCACCTGGCAACAAATTTATACGGTTTTAGGGTTACGCAGCAGAGTGAAGGTTAAGTAGAATGTAAAATATCCACAATACATATACCTGTGGTTCTATATAATTATATATATATATAGTCTTCATTGATCATTTACTGTGATGGCAAACTGAGCAAAGCTTTTTCTATAAATAACTAACAACATTGGTATCAAGAGTTTGGGGGTATTTGAGGTGAAGGTGAGTTTATTGCCACAACTTAGGCCACACCAATTTAATTTGTTGGTTCTCGGATTTGCCTCTTGGTTTTTTTATGATTTGCAAAAAAAAGATTCTGGTTCTGAATGAACTAAAAAATGATCATATTTTGCCCCCAACAGTTAAGGAAAGTCCTTTTCTTCCTAGTTGTCATTACTTTTTTTCATCTATCAATGCAGTGGTTTGATTAAAAGTTCAAAATTCATTGTTAAAATAGTAACCCAGCCTTTTGTGTTGACTTCAGGGCTCCTATCGTAGCATTTGGGGCTATAATAGGATGCCTAGATCTGGGTTTTTTTCGCCCTGAATATATCATCTGTTGAATATTCTCCACATAACCACAGATTTACCAATTTTCAGTCTGAGCTTTTTTAAATGTTCAGTGGTTTCTCATGTTTGTTCAAGTTCAATTGGCTTGCTTTCACTTGGTCTACAAAAGAACATCGTCCATTGAATATTCCATCCCTTTCAGTTTTAAATCAGTGTAAAATCTGTATCCATCGGTCATATAACCCCAGATTTACCAATTTTCAGGTAGGTTTGGGTTCAGTGGTTTTGAAAAAGTAAGCACATCAGTCAGTGCACTGATCTTCTTATTTGCTAGTACGGTCTACAAAAGAATGTTGTCCATTGAATATTCCCTCCCTTTAGACCACTCCAATTTAATTTGTTGGTTCTCGGATTATTTCAGAAGAAATATGAAGCGACAGGGCAAAAAAAGATAAAGATAAGATAAAAATAAAAACAGGTCTAGGCATCCTATTATAGCCCTAACTATGATTGGAGCCATGAAGTCAACACAAAAGGCTGGGTTAATATTTAAACAATGAATTTTGAACTTTTAATCAAACCACTGCATTGATAGATGGAAAAACTGTTAACAACTACATTGTAGGAAGAAAAGGATTTTCCTCAACTGTTGGGGGAAAAATATGAGCATATTTGAGTTGATTGAGAACCAGAATCTTTTTTTTTTTTGCAAATCAGAAGAAAATGAAGAGGCGAATCCAAGAACCAACAAATTGAATTGATGTGGCCTTAATACAGTGTAAAATCTGTACCCATCGGTCATATAACCCTAGATTGACCAATTTTCGGGTAGGTTTGGGTTCAGTGTGGCAGGTGATAACCTTCTGGCACAGCCTGATGTGGTACTGTAATTCACTCTGGCTTCACGGTAGCAAAATTTCACAGTCAGAGGAAAATGGACATCATCACAGAAACTTAATCTTCACAGTAGTAACAGAGGGGGAGGGGGGTGAAAGATGAATGATTTGTTAGTGATAATGGTAAATCCACGGTACAGGAGTGACAGTGAAAACAGTGAACATTTAAAGTACGGTTTAAAAAAAATCAGGAGTTACGGTATGCCTGGCCTGAGTACCTGGTCAGCTGGGATAACCATCCATACAAACAGCAACTGTTGTTCATTCAGCACCAAGGTCAGATCTAACATTATTCTAGTACATGTACATGGCTCCAAAATAGCACCATAGTTTCATACTGCCTACAATATGACAGGCTGACGGGATTTCTAACTGCACGTTAGTAAATTTAAATCACCAAAAGCAACATTTTGAAAATTCCTACATTTGGTAAAACCCAATTTTCTGTTTCAGTGGGTACCCACTAGGCAAGAAATTCTGCATGTATCTGAATTAAACATTTCCTTACAATTATTTGAAAACAAGGGCATATTAAGTGTTCTGCAATATTGCAGAATGTCAAAATATTGTTCTGCAATTTGGAAATACTTTCTGGAAATAATTAAATATAAGACCTGACCTAAACCCATACAAAATTGCATGTTAGCAAACATTTTACATGCAATTTGAAAAATACATATTTACATAATTATTAGCAGATCATAAAGTCAGTTATGAATACAAAAGCTCTTACTTAGACAACTATACCAACATAATTAAACAGGCTAGCCTGATTTTTCTTCAGTCTGCAAAAATTGCAGGTTGCTTAAATCTTCTTCTGCAATATTGAAAATGTCTCTGCAAAATGCAGACTGCAGATGGGTATTTTCTAACACTGGATATGGTCTTGAATTGTATTCGAT